CAATCCCAGCTCGGAGGGACCCACAACTCCTGCCCGCGTCGTCCATCCAGCCGTCGACATCGTTCCAGAAACCCAATCCGACGGCTCGAGGAAGTGCGTGCTCCACCGTATAAAATACTCGAACATCTCGCGGTTTATCTTCTTCGTCTTCACCGCGAGCCACCTTCGAACTACCTCTTCTTCTTGTTTCTTCTTCTTCTCCTCCTTCAGCTCCGAAGCGAATGGCTTGTGTTTCTGCTGCTTCCGTCACCTTCAGAGCTCTCTCGAAACCGTCGCTCAAGAGCAACGAGGTGAGTTTTACCATGTCCCTTCCTTTTGTTCCTTCGGGATTCTGCTCGGAGATGTGAATCAGGTGCACTGTGTATATCTCGGCCGCATCCGGTACGGCTGGGAACGAGACGGGGGAGACATTGTGCTTGTCTCGTTCTCATGTCATTCCGACCACGTCGGAGGCTTTAATTCGTTGTTCTGGTGACGGGGTGTGAACCTGGATTGGTTGATCGGAGTTTCTGTTGAGAACCCACACGTGTGCTCTGTCTTGTGTATTCTTTTCTTGTTAATGGGTGACCTCCACAGAATTACTACTACCACAGAAGAACAATGAGAGATTACATGCTCTTTCTGGTAAAATGTACCGGTTCTATGAGCGTTAATCTTGTTCGCTTTGAAATTGGGACTGTACTTCTTGTTGTCATGGTATGGCGGACCCAGAAAATTTGATAATCAGGGCCAAGATATAAAACACAATTGTTTGATGTCAGGGGAGCGAGATATAGAATTTTACATGAAATTCCACAAGATTATAGTATGTACTAACTAGAAATTACACTAAGCAACCCCCAGTGCTGCGGCTGTGGACATTGCCCATGTTGCTTGCCTAGTTTTACATAATGGCAGTGAGTTGTGTTTATGCTCAATCCTCACCTTCTCTTTTTGGCTTCGAGGGTTTTATAGCGGGGTCGTGTATGTTCTATATAATGATCCAAAGTTGGGCCGTACATGTGCGATGTGGTTAATGCATAAGGGCGTCTGATTTACCAAACTGGCTCGGGAAAATTTGATTTGGCTTGGAATTCGCCTTTTACATATCGAATGCTGTAAGAATATCTCGAGATGCCATTTGCAGCTAATGTTCAAGTTGATCATGGATGTCAACTAATTTTTTGCAGACCTCAAGCTTGAAGATTGTCTCTCTGGGGTACAGAAGGAATGGCTTCCCTTCCTTGAGGAGTTCCCGGTTCCGTGTCTCTTGTGCGGTATAGTACATAGCATCATCTGTTCACGTGTATTTCCCTAACTGGATGAGTTGTAGTAGAGACGAGAACTATATTAGTCGTAATTACTACGAGAGAGGCTGGAGTATAGTAATTGGTGACTGTATTTCGACCACTACCAACCTTGTATACTTGTTCAGCAGGCGAAGCCTGAGACAGTGGACAAAGTGTGTGAAATAGTGAGGAAACAGCTGGCGCTACCTGCGGAGGCCGAGCTCACTCCAGAGTCCAAGTTTTCTGCCATAGGAGCCGACTCCCTTGATACAGTATGTCTCGAATTTCAACTAATTCTTACAGATGTCGATATTTCTTTGGGACGGGAAACAAGTGCGCAATTTTTAAACCTTGAATAGACTTTTTAGTTTGAAGTCAGATATGTGAGTTTATCTAAAGATTTTGTACATTAAAATTCAATTTTAATTGATCTAAACTGATCATGAGATGATGGACGGGTGTTCTCAATCTGCAGGTGGAGATAGTGATGGCTTTGGAGGAAGAATTCGGGATCAGCGTCGAGGAGGAAAGCTCCCAGAACATAACCACAGTCCAAGAAGCCGCCGATATGATAGAAAAACTCGTGCAAAAGAAACCCGAGGCATGACGAGAAGGGTCGAGCCAGCGATGCTAGAGATTTTGACCTGATGAGGGGGCTAAGGAGATTCTTTCGGACATTTTTGTGTATGTTAGCTATCGGGTTTTGCTCTGATTGTTGTGAACTGAGATATGCACTTCTAATTTGTCATACTCTTTTGGCTTATGGTCTTTGCAAATCTTTGGAACCGTTTGGGCATCCTGTTGTTATTGCCAATATCGTGTGTCTACTGCTGCAAACAGATTTTGCCTGGGTAATTCCTAGGAAATATGTCCTGGCGGTGCTATCGTGTTTTTTGCTCTGATTGTTGTGAACTGAGATATGCACTCCTAATTTGTCAGATTCTTTTGGCTTAATGTCATTGCAAACCTTTGGAGCCGTTTCGGCATTCTGCTGTCATCGCTATATTGTGTCTACTGTTGCAAACAGATTTTGCTTAGGTAATTCCTAGGAAACATGTCCTGGTGGTGCAAGTGAATATAGAAAAGAATGTCTAGATCGAGTTGAGAGTCACCTGAAGATTCCCTGTTTTTCTCTATTTTCTTTTCATTTTTTATTGAAGGAGAACTTGAAGAATTGAGTTTTACATGCTTCCTTTTACTTCCACAATAAACATGTCGTGTAAATATAGATTTAGTTTTGTTTGATTCATAGGTGTGTTGATGTCTTTGCCGTTTCACCTGATGTTTTGAATTGAGGAAATTGCTTCGTTGTTTTCCCTTTGAAATTAGTAGATGTACTATTTCCAAAATGACAGCGACAGAAGGTGCTTGCTCCATTCAAATTACAGAAGCAGAAATAGACTTTTGTTTTCTGTTTTGGGTTGCAAACATAGTGAGAGAGAGAGAGAGAGAGGTGTTATCTGTCTGTTTTTGGACAATGCACGGGCTCCTGACGTTGACATAGCGTACTTCAGTTTGCGAAGAAGAGCTGCATGCTTCTGTCCGACATTGGTACAGACCATAAGTATGCCATGTACGACATCCTACTGATCAGATATCACAACTTTACTTGCTAGAAAGGGCTATTACATATCAAAAGTAGAAAGAAGGGAGGATCAGAAAAAGGAACAATTACCAATTTAATTTCAAATCTTTTGACAATTTACCAACGTAATTTTTTTGATTAATTATTCAAAAATTGTTGATATGACGGTTCAATCAGATCATCTTAAGTGGGATGGCCAGAGAGACAACATCACTGGCGAAAATCGATTTTGCAAATTTTTTTTTTTTAAATTGAACTTTTTCCTTTTTCTTTTTCTTTTCCTTTTTTTCCTTCTTCCTCCACGAGTCGTTGAATTTGGTGAGGGTCAACCTCGCAAGTCTCGAGCGAGGCTCCACCTCATTGGTCATTGCCGAGGCCTAGCGACTGGCGGAAGAAGAAGGAAAGAAAGAAAAAAAAGAAAAGGAAAGGAAAAAAATAAAAAAAATTCAGAAATTTTTTTAAAAATTTTAAAAAAATCGACCATGTCAGCGTCGGTCATGCCAGTTTAGATGGCTTGGCATCCATGTCAAAGATTTCCAATCAAGATTGGCCAGAAGGATTACATTGGCAAATTGTCAAAATGTTAAAGATTAAATTGGGCAAATTAAAATGTTTATGACTAAATTAGCATTCGTACAATAAGTTAAAAAATTTTTGGCTTAAAAAATAGGCAAATTGAGAAAAAAACATTAATCTAAGGGGACATTGATTCCTTTCATCGTTACGATAGACAAAAGAAACCATTAATGAGATTTAGAATCAACAATTCTCGGCACAACTAGTTTGTACAACACGATTTTTTTGGTCAAATACAACACGATTGATTTGCATGACGAGACACGCAATTAAACATGTTTAAATTTGGCATAAATGGATTCGCTTCATATGACACGACAAAAGTTGTGTTTTCAGGTAAGTCGATCGCTTAAGTCGATGCGATTTAGTTAACATATTAATGGGCCATCACGCAATTAAAAGTGTTTAAGTGTGGCATAAATGGGCTCGCTTTATATGGCACGACAAAAAATTGTGTTTTTAGGTAGGTTGGTGCTTAAGTCGACGCAATTTAGTTAACGTGTTAATGGGCCATTTATTTCAACAAGACATGGTTAGACTTGTTAATCAAACCGATAGACTTTGTTATCCATAATAGACCACTTCAAAAAAGAATAAATGGTGAAATAAAATCATTCCTACAGATACAAAAGTAATCGAACATAACAAAGCTAGATCATTAAGACTCTTTAAGATGTAAAGTGTAATAAAATTGCTCTTATCATCCATAAACATGCCAAGCATGTTGACGCAAGTTATCGTGTATAAATACATTTCGCGTACTTATCATCCAAGCATACGTCTTTACCAGGCAAACTCGAGAAACACGTTCAGCTCGACTTTCAGACCCAACCCGATCCGAGCTGGGCTAATGATTACCCATGTTAACGTATCGGTAATTTTCCTTCCGCGGAACCCTCGTCAATATAAAAGGAAGGAAAAGGTAATTATCGGACATTGTTCAATCAAATAAGTGTGTAGGGAGTGATGAAAGCATGCATGGGAAAACCCTATTTTATTATTATTACTATTATTATTACGACAGCATTGGGATCACAGTTTGCTTAATTTAGTGTTGACGAAGATTTAGTACCCCAAGCGAGGCCGGGGAGCGACAATGTCATGTCGCAAGAGAGGTCGAACGATATCAGCCGGGCAAATATAATCAGCCGTGAAAAGAGAAAAACAAAATCCAAATTTGAATGAAACGAAAAAAAAAAAAAAAACACAGAACAAAAGGAAATTCGAAATCCCTCCCGGTCACGGAGATCGCTGACGTGTACGGCCCAGATTCGGACCGTGTCGTGTACTAGATTCGCCCCCCCACGCTGCCTGCCCCCCGGCCGTCGTCACTATAAAGAAACCTCGTCCTCTCATTCGCTGTCTCGTCTCTCTCTCTCTCTCTCTCTCTCTCTCTCTCCTCAGTGTCTCTCTGCGCTTCCGTGTTCGTGCCTCTTCCTCCCTTTTTGAAATCCTCTTTCACGTTCGAAGGGGGGTAAAAAAAAAAAAGCTTCGATTCGAATAACGTTTCGCCGCATAATAAACGATTAATTTGTTCGAAGTTGTCCGGATCCGAGATCGAGAAATCGTAAAACTTGGTGTCCGAATTGGTCCCCGATCGCGCAGATCCCCGCCCCCCGATAAGAACAACAACCTCACCGCCGAGATCAGATCAGATCTGCTCGTTTAAACTAAATCTCGGGACTCTGCCGGGGGGATCCCGCGGGGGATTCGCGCGGCGTAATCGTCGGCGGTTTAGTTGGGTTTCCGGTGAGGTGGAGTGGAGTGTGGTTCGATTGGTTTACTTGGAATCCGGCGGTCGCGGGGGGATTTGTTGGGTTGCTTTTCGGAGATTTGTGGTGGAGGAGGAGAGCTCGATGGATGTAGAGGAGGGCGAGATTTCGGACGCCATGTCGATCGAGGAGATCAGCGAGGAGGACTTCAAGCAGGACGCGAAGGAGGCGGCGAGGGAGGTGGTGTCGAAGCCGAAGGCTAGGGTTTGGACGATGCAGGACTTGTACCGGTATCAGGTCGAGAAGGGATACACTTCGGGTCTCCACAACCTTGCCTGGGCGCAGGCCGTGCAGAAGAAGCGGCCGTGCGGCGGCGAGGTCGTCGTGATGGATGCGGATGCGGTGGCGGCGGCCGGGAAGAAGGGCGATTCGGCGAAGGGAGTGGACAAAGTCGTGATCGACGACGACAGTGGGGACGAAGGGGATGCGAAGTTCGGCGACGGCGAGAAGGAGGAAGGAGAGCTCGAGGAAGGGGAAATCGATCTGGACTCGGAGGTGGTGGATAAGGTCGACGGAGAAGGTGGAGAGGCGAGTTTCAGTGCCAAGTCTGTCGTGAGTAATGGCGGCGAGTGTGAGTTGGAGTTGGGAGAGGAGGAAGTGGAGAGGCGGCTGCACTTGATCCAGGAAGCTCTTGATAGTGTGATGTCGTCCGATGCAGAGACGTAAGTGAAGTCAATATAAGTCGATGGTTGGTTGTTTCGGAATCGAGAATGGGGCGTGCCTAGTTTGAGCTGTGAATTGCTTCAACTTTAGTTTTGATTAATGAGATGTGTTTTGCTGTGGTAGATCATTTGAGGAAGTCTGTGGCCGCCTGCAATGTTGTCTGGAGAATCTCAAGGAAGTGGTTTTGGTGAATAGTCTTCCCTTGAAGGATGGCCTCATACAGCTGTTCTCCGGGGCAATTCAATCAGTCCATTTTGTAAGATATCTGCTAGTGCTTCGACTCCATGTCGCGAAATTCCAGTTTGGTGTCACTTAGATTTTGCTTCTAATGCCCGGGGCATTAATCAATTTCTATGCTTTGTTGACAGGAATTCTGCTCCATGGATTCCGGCCAGAAGGAACAGAACAAGGACAAATTTTTAAGGTTATTAGTTGCTCCTTTTGTTTACCTTTCCAAGGAAACTTTTATAGTCGTTATTTAATTCTTATTATTCCCGATTTGCAACAGGCTGCTTTCTCTCGTGAAGAGCAACAATCCCTCCTTTTTTTCCTCTGATCAGGCGAAGGAGGTCGAATTTGTGCTTTTAATTTTTCTTTGTTATGGTTGTTGAAGTTAGTTTTCATAGAATGGCACTGAATGCTGCGGTGACTCTTGCCTTTTCAGATAGAGGACATGATATGCTACTTAAATGCACTTCCTATAATGTCGGGCGCAAAAACCAGTGATAGAGAGAAAGATAATCAATTCAATGATCCTTTGAACCAGAAAAATTTGGAATATTCAGCTGGTATTGCTGCTTATAATTTAGCGCACTCGAGCGAAGTACGCAGAGAATCATTACTTGCTGAGTCGACAGATCAGACTGGTCGAAACATTACTCTAAAAGCTCCGAAACTAGGGAATTCGGTTGCCAAGGCTCGAGGAATGTTGCTTCCATTGCTTGATCTTCACAAGGATCATGATGAAGACAGTCTTCCTTCACCCACTCAACAAGCACCGCCTTCTTCGACTACGTCAAGAGCATTTTTGTCTAGGGTAGATGGAATGGTTAAGCCAGAGATGAGCATGAGCAATGGTAAATTGGCGCAGGAAGCAGAAGCTTTCAAAGTGCATCCTTACGAAACTGATGCACTTAAAGCGGTCTCCAACTATCAATGGAAGTTCCAACAGAAGTTCGGGAGTAGTTCCTTTTCCAATGATAGACTTCCAAGCCCAACCCCTTCAGAGGAGCATGAAAATGGAGTTGACGATACAAGTGGGGAAGTCTCTAGTTCTAGTTCTGGGATTGGTAATAGTAAAATTATGAATGCTCATATCTTGGGGCGACCGGTGTTCTCCTCTTTGCCCCATGTTAACAATGTCAATATGCAAGGAGTGACAGCTTCACAAAATCATGCCCTTACAAGCTCAGGGTCTAATCTTCCTGTTAAATCCTCTGGAAAGAGTAGAGATCCAAGGCTTAGGTTTGCCAATTCCGATTCGGGTAATTTGGACCTTAACCAACGGCCCTTGCCTGTGATACATAGTGCATCAAGGGCTGAACCTGTTGGTGGGAGCATGATCGCAAGAAGGCAAAGGAACTTTGAGGATCCTACTCTCGATGGTCCTGCAACAAAAAGGCCAAGAAATGGATTTGAAAATTCTGGTCTTATAAAGGATGTGAAAACCGGTGGCTGGCTGGAGGATCCTCATACAAGAGTATATCAAGCAATCAATAGAAACAATCTGCTGGAAAATGCAAGTGAGTTGAAGAGAACAAATAATGGGGTGATATTTCCATCTGTAGACAGTGGTAAGTCGAGTGTGGTCATCGGTAGGAACAATTTGTCTAGAGTTTCGAGTGTCAATCCTGCAGCAGCGCTGCCTGCATTGTTGAAAGATATCGCTGTAAATCCAACGATGTTAATGAATCTACTAAAGATGGGTCAACAGCAGAAATTAGCAGCAGAGGCACAGCAAAACTCGGATGATCCTTCAAAAAACATGAGTTCTCTGCCCAACTCCGCTTCTATATTGGGAGCAGTACCTAAGGTCACTCTTACCCCGGCAACAGCAGCAGGGACTGGGATTTTGCAGAAACCCACTGTGATGCTTCCGGCTGCTACTCCTACTCCCGTGGTAAGCATTGTGCATTCAGCAAACTTGGGAATTTTCTTAGCTGTTGTTTCCGCGCCAAGAAGGCAGTTTCATGCATTTTTTCTGTTTATTACTTTCTTTTAAAACATCTTGCTTGTAATCTCTATTCGCCTTTCTTAATAACCTTACGAGACAGATAGTAGTAAATTTGGGATGATATATTGTTTTCTACCCATGTCTCTGTACAATACATGCTTGCAATACTAAATCATTTGAGCTGTTCTTCCTTCCTTCCCATAAATACACCTTTTTTTAAGTTTTTTGAAATTAGTGTTATGACAGTTACTTTTCATCTCGTGTAGTCTCAGCAGGATGAGTTGGGCAAAATTCGCATGAAACCCCGTGACCCTCGCCGTGTACTTCATGGCAACATGCTTCAGAAGACTGGGAGTATAGGTACTGAGCAGTTAAAACATGCTCCTCCGGTGTCAAGGATACAGACGGAGGATATAGCAGATAAAAAAACACTGCCTTCTGAATCTTCTGTAGCATCAGATGTTTCTCAGAAGATTTTAAAGCACTCGAAGAACGTTCCTGTTATTATGTCTTCTTCACAATCATCAACAAACCCAGTGCCAGGTTCTCAGAATCTTCCATCCCAACCTATACAATCTATATCAGGAGTGGATGCAAAAACTGAACTTCCAAACCACAAGGACCAGCGATCTGGGACTGATCCCTTGGTGGAAGTAAGTGCACCAGGCCCATCTCCTTCACAAAGTTCATGGGGAGATCTGGAGCATATATTTGAAGGATATGATGATCATCAAAGAGCAGCCATTCAGAGAGAGAGGACAAGGAGGTTGGAAGAACAGAGGAAAATGTTTGCTGAACGCAAGCTCTGCCTTGTTTTAGATCTTGATCACACACTTCTGAATTCAGCCAAGGTGAATTGTAATTGACTTGTGGAAGTACCCCTGGTTCTTGTATGTTGCTAATTTTGCTTAAATGATTTAATGTGTTCGTTGGATAGTTTGGTGAAGTGGAGCCTGTACATGAAGAGATCTTGAGGAAAAAAGAGGAACAGGACAGAACACAACCTCAGAGACATCTTTTTAGATTTATTCATATGGGAATGTGGACGAAGTTGAGGCCAGGAATCTGGAACTTTTTGGAGAAGGTAACCTTCCACATCTGGTTCCTTTGTCTGCTTCTTGTCGTGCTAAATGTTAAGCTTATTGTAGTCCTTGTCTTGTAGGCTAGTAAGCTTTATGAGCTGCATCTTTACACCATGGGCAACAAGCTTTATGCTACAGAGATGGCAAAAGTGCTCGATCCAAAAGGGGTGCTGTTTGCGGGCAGAGTCATATCAAGGGGTGATGATAGTGATTCATTTGATAGTGATGACAGGTGTCCCAAGAGTAAGGATTTGGAAGGAGTTTTGGGAATGGAATCATCTGTCGTCATCATTGACGACTCCGTGAGAGTATGGCCACATAACAAACTAAATCTGATAGTTGTAGAAAGGCAAGTATACTGGAATTCGAAGGGATGCATAAATTTTGTGACAATTTACGTCAATTGCTGTGTTGTATATGTTCACTTTCACATTTCTTACAATTGACACCTGATTATGGTATTTTAATTGTTCACAATTCTCATCTAATACAATGTTATGCAGATATACCTATTTTCCCTGTAGCAGACGCCAGTTTGGGCTTTTGGGTCCTTCTCTTCTTGAGATTGACCATGATGAGAGACCTGAAGATGGGACATTGGCCTCATCTTTGGCGGTGAGGTTACAATTAGAATTCGGTATCTTTTAATGAAATAACTCTCTTCCCTTATATGCTTGTCTTGCCTCCAACAGGTTATTGAGCGAATACATCAGGACTTTTTCGCCCATCAATCTTTAGATGATGTGGATGTCAGAAATATTTTAGCTGCCGAGCAACAGAAGATTTTGGCCGGCTGTCGTATAGTTTTCAGCAGAATATTTCCTGTTGGCGAGGCCAACCCTCAAGTTCATCCACTGTGGCAGACGGCTGAGCAGTTTGGTGCCACCTGTACCAACCAGATAGATGAACAGGTTACTCATGTAGTTGCCAATTCTCTCGGAACAGATAAGGTAACGTCTCTGATTCCATGACTATATGGAATAATAGGGTATGTGCCTACTTGGTTCTGGCAGGATGGATTATAGTTTAGGAATGGTTGAATATCTTAGTTTCCACTGCATGAGAAGTTCATAAAGTTGTCAGTCTGTCTGTGAGTCTGGGAAGGTAAACCGCAGTAGCTGTAGCAAAAACATGCCTGGTAAGACATCCTTGGGTATTAAACAGGACCGCAGTTCGTTTATTGTTAATTTCTCTATAAAGCAAGGGGGTTGTTTACTGGTTGCATCATTTGTCGTGGTCACTTGAAAATTTTTGCCAGTCGATTGAGCAATGCCAGCTAAGGATTTTTTTGAGCTAGAATAAGGACACATACTAAACTGGGGTGTGCTGATTACAAAATGTGATTATTTTCCTTTTCTGAAGGCTAACTTGATTTGGTCTTTAATCCTGCATCAGGTGAATTGGGCTCTTTCGACTGGAAGATTTGTTGTCCACCCTGGCTGGTAGGATTCGGGTTCCAGGTCTTGATTTGGTAAATTAGTTTGTGCATTCCATAAGTTTATAGGTTTGACGGTTTTTGCATGTCTCGATGACAACAGGGTGGAAGCATCGGCTTTGCTTTATCGGAGAGCAAACGAACAAGACTTTGCCATCAAACAGTAACCAATGAAATGATACATTGAAAACTAAAATCCGACCCAACATAACCCCGAACCACAGTATAGTATCTGCATAATGCCGAGCGGATGAAGCAAGAAACAGACTCCGCTCGGCATAATTCGACTCGGATAGACCCCTTTCATACCTTGTGCCTGCTTGCCTAAGGATTTTTTAACATGAATTAGGCATAGGCAAGGCGCAATTTTTTTGGCTGGGGTATTAGCTCCCTAGTGAGAATGAATGAATGGGCGATATCCTCCTTGATTAAAGTTCGGGGTGGTTTACTCTAGGGGACAGTTTCCTTTTGGAAGTCGGGAAAAGTGGACAAATTCCGAAACCAAACAATGACAGATCTCTGACGGATACTCAACAAACTGGGGAAAGAAAGGATCTTAAAGCTGTGAAATGGGGTTAGATATTGGTGTGCTTGAGGTCATGATTCTCTTGACTTAGGGGGAGGAATGATGCTGAAAGAACATCTGTTTTGATAGGTCGGATTCGACATTAGCAACAAGTTCAGGATCTAATTGTGGTGTCTTAATGTATAAAGTGTCGTAGAATTCGCGGAAAAGATTAATCATTCGAATTCCTGGTGTTGGTCCTGCTGGTAAAATCACTGATTCTGCAGAAGCTGTCCATTAAAATCGTGTCTCGTCCCGTCCCAATCCTCAAAGTCCCCTCTAAAAATTCCAGCGATCAGTCTTTTTTTCCTTTTTTTTGTTTCTTTTACCTTGATTTAAAGACTCTAAACGAGGAAATTGAGTTACATGGTTCTTGGGGGTCTCTCTTTATTGTCAAAATTTTCGTTCTCCTGCTGCAAAAGATCAGAAAGGAATCTGGGGTTGATGAATAATTCCACTTTCTGTGGCTTGGGCGTGGAGCGCGCAACTCTCTTGAATTGAAGCCGTTCTGGTGGATTCTGGTTGAAGATTGGAATGAATGTCGCCGTCTAATTCGCATCTTTTCGACATTTATTGAGGGACACGCTCGAATTGGAAGCTTGGGAAATCTCTGATGTGGACAGGTTGCTGCTGTCTGGGCGAGTACGCTACGGAAAGTACGTTACTTGTTTGGGGAAGTATGCTGGTGGGTAAAGGAATAATGGTCCTAAGCTATGCCCCCTAAATTCGATCCCTGCTCCACCCAAAAGATGAACAAAAAAAAAGAATATAAAAGATAAAATAAAAAGAGAACAAAAAGCTTCGAACTTGACACACGCACTGAAATCTGCTTGCTGTGGGGCGTTTCATCGTTCGATACGGTCCCCGACCGAAACGGTCCAGACAAAGCTGGTTTCATAGGAACGACGTTACCGCAATCTTTGTCCAATCTGACGCACATTGTGGGGGGATGTCACAAGTATGATCGATCTGGAAGATTTTGGATAAATGGCTCGCTTGTTATGAAATTGTTTACTGCATATGGGTATTGCCCTAAGTTGGATTCTTCTTGAAATCCCTGAAATTCTTTTTCAAGAGATGAATTGGCCTTTTCTAAGTACCAGCCAAGGTCGTGAACTGCACGTGTCGATACTTGAAAATTCTGAAAAATTTCAAGTATTCCAAGTAAAATACGAGTCGAGCGACGAGATTTAGTTTTTGTGGGAGATTATCATCTACTGAATGACTCCATCCTATGGCTTTCCGTCTAAAGAGTGGAATTTCCGACTTAAGTTTGGGAAAATTACGGAAAAATTAGTACATGATTTTACGTTTAGGTAATTGAATATTTTGGATTGTTGGAAATATCTTGGATTAAATAAATGTTAAAATTGGCGAGATTCGTAAACTTTATGGAAAATTAATGAATATAAGTGAAGTTACCAAGAAGAAGAAAGGAACGTGGCACTAATACCAAAATGAAAGTGAAAATAATGAAAAGTGATCAGCTCTTCCGAAAGGGAGCAACGGGTTACCAAATCAATACAAACACGTAAGACTAATTCGGGGAATCATAAAGCAACAAGTAAACATTCACGATTCGTGGAAAGGAATAAGGCAAAAATTAAATGGTCATTCCATGGGAACAGAATAGACTAAGGATAAGAATGGAATGGTTATTTTTCAGATTGATTTGTAGAATTGATCAAACTTGCCTTTCCCAGGCGCCATGAAATGGGCGGCTAATTATTTCAAGATCATACTCTTGTTTGATTTACCATTATACAAAAATAGCAAAGAAATTCCGTACTACCCTTTGATGTTAGATAATCAGAGCCCCATATTTCTCACTTATCATATTTTTAAAAATCGCAGACGAAAAGATATAACAATTTGTAAATAATGATAGTTTTTTTTTTAATCCTGTGGGGCTCTTCCTTTTGAGGAGCTGAGGCGGCCCCTATTGGGCCCACCTGAGAAACCCACAAACCCCCTACCCAGAGGAGGAGAGTCGGTCCAAATAGGAAAAATAATGCAGTCATTGTTTTACCACAAAATAATAATTAATATTAAAATAATCATTAAATTGGAAACATCTAAAAACTATCATAATTGGAAGATTATCCTATAATTTTAATTATCAATGGTATAATTACATTATAATTATTATTCAATTGTATAATTAACTCACTTATGATTGCAAATCTAATGATTATACTTAATTTGATTAATTTTCATAAAAATAATAGAAATTATTATGATTTTAAATTTACAATAGTAATCATAGTATAATCTAATATATAATGACCTAACTATCAAATATCATAGAAAGCAAGCAAACAAAGATATTGCTTCCCTACCCACAATATGGAAATTGTCCAATCGGTTCTAAATGTATTATATGGATATCATTTCAGTCCTGAACTTCCAATTTACCAATTTAGTGATAAACCTTTGCGTGAAATTCTAATGTAGTATTTTCGGCCAATTTTTACCAGAAATTGCTAACATGACGGTATATTACATAGGACGGTCGGTGATAATTGAATCGTCACATCAGCAATTTTCGGTAAAAATTGACCAGGAGGGCTACATTGGAATTCCATATAAAGGTTTAAAATTGAATTGGCAAAAGTAAAAAGTCGAGAACTGAATGGGCATCCTTACAATAGGTTTAGGACTAAATAGGTAATTTTCTTTGACCACAACCATAGGAGTACAAGACTGATCTTATTTAACATGAATGATTCATTACATTTAATAATGAACCTTTGTCTTACTTCAATAGATTATTAACATATATGATTTAGCATTTCATGAATTTAACATATTCTTAATAGATATCTATAATTCTATATCCTCTCATTTTGGTTTTGGCTCGCATCTTACTTGATTCGCTAGGTTAGTTAGGTATTTCACGTGTCTAGGGTTTTCACTTCAAAGTTTCACTTCAAATCTAATTCAACTTAATAAAACAATAACTTTAGTACGTACACAAGTGTTCCGTTCATGAAGAGGTACAGAGACGCCCAAAATAATAACTAATAAGATTTACCAATGAATATAATCAAATTGTTAATGGCTTTGTTAGTCAAGAGATATTTGAGATCATCAATCTAAAGAGAAAATTAATCTTGGTAGGTGTTATGTTCCCGATTAGGTAGGATTGACTTTAGACATAGCAATTGTTCATCATGATCTCAAACATGTAGAAAATGATAAACTGTAAATAAACGAGAAAAGATAATTAAATCATTATTAAATAAGTGGACAGGCATCGTTGTGCATAATCTTCTATAATGCACATTATGAGAATTATTCATTGACAAAATAAAAAGGAAAAATTACCAAAATAGTCCTAAACCTATTGCAATTGTACCAATTTAGTCTTAAATATTTTTTTTTTGCCAATTCAGTCCTAAACCTTTTGCATTTGTGCCAATTCAGTCAATTTGGCCAATTTTGGCCAGCTTGCGCTAATGTGGACATCGGCCGGTGTTAGCTGTCCAGCCGACGCTGACATGGTAATTTATTTATTTATTTATTTATTTCCATTCTCTTTCTTTTTTTCTTCCCTTCTTCCCCTGGCCGGTCTAGGGCCGTCGAGGTCGAGGTCGACCTCGCTAGCCCTAGCCTCTAGCCAGTTTGGCGACCAGCCAGGGGAAGAAGGAAAGAAAAAAAGAAGAAAGAGAAATGAAAAAAGTCAAAAAATAAAACAATTGCCATGTCGGCGCTGGTCGGTGTCCACGTTAGCGCCGGCAAGCCAAAATTGGGCGGATGGAATGAATTAGTATAAATGCAAATGGTTTATGACTGAATTGTCACGATTACAATAGATTTATGACTATTTTCGTAATTTTTCCAAATAAAAAGGGGTCTAGAAAATGTTTGGAATCCAAGTAAAATCCATAGTAACCAAAACTTCGTGACGAGATTTGATTTGTATACTTCTTGTCTGCGTCTTTAAAAAAGATTGTCGAAACTAAATGAAACTAAGGGTGCATTTGTTTGAGGGAAAATGTTTTCCGGGAATCTGTTTTTCGAACTTTCACCCATTTGATTTGCCGAAAATGATAAATCAACTGAAAACACTTTCCAATCAAATAAAACATTCAAGTATAATATTAGGAAAGTGAATTCTCTAATTTAAGAAGGTGAAAACACTTTTCGGAATTGTTCATCTTGAATTTGTTAATATTTTTTCTTTTCTCTTCTTTCTTTTCGTTTTTGTTCTTTTTCCTTCTTCCTGCCTCCGCCAGTCGCTGGCCTTTCTTTTTCCAAAATAAAAATAATTTAAAAAATACTAAATTTTTCGATAATTTTTCACTATTAGATTTTTCTCATCAAATAACTGAAAATACTTTTCAAGTTTTTTTTAGATTTTAACCAAACACCGGAAAGCGAACTCATTTTACTGGAAATTGACTTCCTGGAAAATATTTTCTAGAAATAGTACATTTTCCATGAACCAAACACACCCTAAAAGTTCGATTTGTTGCAGCGATGGAATAAGGCTACAAAGCTAATTACGTTGTGGTGTAATAAAGTTGTAATTATAATGTTGACTGGAAAAAGTAATGTAATACCTGTTACGCTATATGATTTCACAAGTAACATTTGTAATAAGTGGGGATTCCCTTAATACCCCTAAAAATTAGAATTCGAGGAAATATATCAATTATCATTTTAATAGTCAATCATGATTCATGAATATTACATCCGCTATACATATACATATATATGTAAGTATGTATGAATTTTTTTACTAATTTAGTTAAAATTACGAAAAAAAATTAAGCACGTTATTATTATGTTACTGTACTTATCACTTTAATAGCTAATCCCCCAGTGTAGCTACTTCGTCTATTCTATCAAGAAATTACAATTTCATGGAGAATTTTTGTCTATTATTTAATAGGGTTAATACTACAAAAAACTCCACATTGGTACAATTGTGACAAATTTATCCCAAACTAATTTTTTGATCACAAAAAACCACACACTAGTACACCTGTGATAAATTTACCCTAAGTTGATTTCCGTAAAATTTTATCGTCAAATTGCTGAGTTGGATGACGCGTGACAGTTGACAGGTATACCAGTTTGGGGTTTTACCCTCTATTTGTCACAATTGTACTAGTTTGTGATTTTTCATGGTATTGATTCAATTTAACGGAAACTAATGGAGGGTAAATTTGTCATGAATATATCACTTTTGGATTTTTGGTGGTCAAAAAATTAGGTCACGGTAAATTTGTTGCATGCGTACCAGTTCGAGGTTTTTGACGGTCAAAAAATTAGTTTATGGGTAAATTTATTGTAGGTGTACCAGTTTAGGTTTATTCGTGATATTAACCCTATTCAATAATATATATATACATGTGTGTGTATGATTATATTAGAATAAATATTATCTATTATTGAGTTAATAGTATGATTATATGTCAATTCGAGCATTAATTGATACTAACTAATGATCAAGATAATCACTGGTATTACGATTAACACGATTTGATCATGATTTATCATTAATCCCGATTGTAACGATAGCTATTACGAAATATACGACTCGCGTCCACATCGGTATCCGAATCCGAAACTAATATTCCGCGATAAGAAGAAGATCCAGTAGAATTAGGAGTTTTGTTCCCTGTAGGACTCCTAGATCGAGAGGGTTTCCATTAACCCTAATCTGTTTTACTCTCAGCACACGCTTATATATATAGTGCGGATACTCTTTCTCTTGCCGTGGCTCGTGTTTTGCTGAGTGAACTCATCCCTGGAGATGGAGTACGGAGGCGGAGCTCCTGTCCCTTCAATGTCGCAGTGGCTGCACGCCGCTCTGTCAGGTCTCTCCGCCGTCTCCATCGCTGTTCCTCGCTTTCCGCCATTGTTAACTTCGTTCTAATCAAACTCGCACTGTGTTTTGCTGAACGCCGGCCTTGTTTGTCTGTCCTTACTCGCTCTTTTTCGTTCGTTTTACACGTGTGTATCGGGTAAGACTTCACCGACGGAGTAGGGATCGCATCCAAATCGATCAACCCTTCAGATTTATTTTTTTCTTGCTTTTTTTCGGTTAGGGCATTAGCGAATTTTTATGCGATGTAAGGACATCGAGATTATTCATGCTTCAGCGAATTGTAATGTTATATGTTCTGCTAGAACAAGGGTTTTGCCCTAATTTCTATGTCACAACGTGACGCGAAGTCTCAAGTTTTCGTCGAAACTAATCAACTTTATGTGCATGTATTTTTGTTCTTTTTGGTCGTACATGTGCACATATGGCTTGAAAAATCATCCTTTTGTTTGCCGACAGTACTTTTGCAAACGAACTCGAAGCTTCTTTGATCTAGTCCCTTAATTTCAAGAGATGTTAGTCAGACATTGGCCTGTGATTGTATCACCTGCAGACATCGAAGCGAAGACGCTATATATGCTGAATCTCATACAATGCGACTGGGAGACGTACCACGAGCGAGTCGAGAGGCACTACAGGAGGAGGCCGGAGCTCGCGGAGATGCTGAAATCCTGGCACAGATCTTACTGCTATTTGGCACAAAAGCATGACGAGCTCTGGTCCCTTTACGTTCAAATCACGACCGTTCAAGCCGATTCTTACCCAGAAGACCCAGATCTTACGGTTGAAACAGGCGAACTGGACCACCTTAATTGCGCGACAGACGGGTCGCCGGGCACTGCTTTCCTCGAGTTCGCCGGAGAGACGAAAGAGAGGGAAGAGATTGAGAACGGAGGCGAAGCTTCTGGCTCTTCAACGTTGCAGTGGCTGCACGCCACTCTTTCAGGTCTCTCTGTCATCTCCATCGCTGTTCCTTGCTTTCAACCATCGTTAACTTCATCCTAATCAACTCGCACGTGATTTGCTGAACGCCGGCCTTGTCTGTCTTTACTCGCTCTTTTTCGTTCGTTTTACGTAAGACTTCACCGACGGAGAAGGGATCGCATCCAAATCGATCGACCCTTCAGATTTATTTTTTTCTTGCTTTTTTTCTGTTAGGGCAGTAGCGAATTTTTATGCGATGTAAGGACATCGAGATTATTCATGCTTTAGCGAATTGTTATGTTATATATTCTGCCAGAACAAGGGTTTTGCCCTAATTTCTATGTGGCTGTATGACGCGAAGTCTCAAGTTTTTGTTACTAATCAATTTTATGTGCATGTATTTATGTTCTTTTTGGTCGTGCATGTCCACATGTGGCTTGAAAACTCGTCCTTTTGTTTACCGACAGTACTTTTTGCAAACGAACGCGAAGCTTCTTTGATCTAGTCCCTTAATTTCAAGAGATGTTAGTCAGACATTGGTCTGTGATATATCACCTGCAGACATCGACACGAAGATGCAACGCATGCTGAATCTCATAGAAGGCAACGGGGGGACGATCCCGGAGAGAGCCGAGAGGTATTACAGGAGGAGGTCGGAGTTTGCGGAGATGCTGAAAGACTGGCACAGATCTTACTGCTATTCGGCACAAAAGCATTACGAGCTCTGGTCGCGTTACGTTCAAGTCACGACCGTTCAAGCCAAGTGTTACCCAGAAGACCCAGATCATACGGTTGAAACAGGCGAACTGGACCACCTAAATTGTGCGACAGACGGGTCGCCGGGCACTGCTTGCCATGAGGTCACTGGAGAGACGAAAGAGAGGGAAGAGACAGAGAACAGAGGCGAAGCTTCTGGCTCTTCAATGTCGCAGGATCTACACGCCACTCTTTCAGGTCTCTCTGTCATCTCCATGCTGTTCCTTGCTTTCAACCATTGTTAACTTCGTTCTAATCAACTCGCACGTGTTTTGCTGAACGCCGGCCTTGTCTGTCTTTACTCGCTCTTTTTCGTTCGTGTGTATCGGAGAAGGGATTGCATCCAAAATCGACCCTTCAGATTTATTTTTTTCTTGCTTTTTTTCTGCTAGGGCATTAGCGAATTTTTAAGCGATGTAAGGACATTGAGATTATTCATGCTTTAGCGAATTGTTATGTTATATATTCTGCCAGAACAAGGGTTTTGCCCTAATTTCTATGTCGCTGTGTGACGCGAAGTCTCAAGTTTTGTCGAAACTAATCAATTTTATGTGCATGTATTTATGTTCTTTTTGGTCGTACATGTCCACATATGGCTTGAAAAATCATCCTTTTGTTTACCGACAGTACTTTTGCAAACGAACTCGAAGCTTCTTTGATCTAGTCCCTTAATTTCAAGAGATGTTAGTCAGACATTGGTCTTTGATATATCACCTGCAGACTGTGACGCGAAGATGCAACACATGCTGAATCTCATAGAAGGCGAGACGGAGACGTTCGCGGAGAGAGCCGAGAGGTACTACTGGAGGAGGCCGGGGCTCGCAGAGTTGCTGAAAGACTGGCGCAGAAATTACTGTTATTTGGCACAAAAGCATGACGAGCTCTGGTCCCGTTACGTTCAAGTCATGCCCTCATCATCCTCCAACGGAGCCCAACATGCCGATTCTTACCCAGAAGACCCAGATCTTACGGTTGAAACAGGCGAACTGAACCACCTAAATTGTGTGACAAACAGGTCGCCGAACACCGCTTGCCATGAGGTCGCCGGAGAGACGGAAGAGAGGGAAGAGACAGACGAGAAAGGCAAAATGACGAGCGAGCAACTCACGGAGATGCTTATGGCGATGCGGCCCGCGGTTTTAAGGAGGGCGCGCGAGGTGTTGGTGGCCGAGCTTGTAAGTAGGATCGATGAGAAGAGCCAAAAAATGAAGAGGCTTGTTTCCCTGATCAAACGACTCAGGAATGAGAACGCCAGGCTGAAGAACCGCTTATCGGCCCGCGAGGTCGGCGCGCAGCGAGAGCAGGAGCCGGAGCCAGAGCCAGAGCCGGAGGAGTCTCGGCTTTCGAAGTTGAAAGGGTTCATCCTCGAGAAATTCTTTCCTTAGCGAACTCAGTCTTAGGAAATACCAGTTAGGTCAAGAATAGTCTTGAAGTTTGTTCAAACTTAGTCATGGATGCTGATGATTTCTTGTAGTATTTGTCCTAAGTTTTCCTTTTTCCTTGCTGTCTTGCATATATAGTCTCTTTGCTCATGTCATTATCCCGACTCTACTCACTCTTTCATGTCAATTAATGCCCCCGAGCGACTCTTTTGCCGATGAGTTCCAAGATAATGTCGGAAAATAATACTAAGTATACTCTCGCGGAATCGATAAGATACCGTGAATAATGTGCTTTACAAGTTGAACATAATAATGCCGAAGAGAGAATTGGGTAATTTGTGTATATTTCAATATATAGAAAAGAGTACATGAAAAGCCTATTTATAGGCTTAGATAGAGAAAATCAAAGAAAATCAAATTTAATACGCATAATAAAAATGGATATAGAAAATCAATATCCTAATATTGCTAATATTACACATGTTTTACTATTCCACGCTTGGCGCGGTTGCGATTTTTGTTATGTTTTGTTTACTTTTATACCGGGGTAATTAGCTGTTTATGTTAATTCTAATCCTAAAACGGAAAAAAGGCCATTAATTAGGAAAAAAAAAAGGAAAGAGATAAAAAGAAGAGTTAATACCATGAAAAATCCCAAACAGGTATACATGTGATAAATTTACTCCAAACTAATTTTTTGATCACAAAAAACCCTAAATTAGTACGTACATTTATGATAAATTTATCCAAAACTAATTTTTTGACTAACGAAAATCTCAAATAGGTACATTTGTGACAAATTTCTGTTAGTTTCCGTCAAATTGGATTAATACTACGAAAAATCACAAACCGGTATACTTGTCACAAATGGAGGGTAAAACACCAAATTGGTACATCCGCGAACTGCCACTTGTAATCCAATTTAGCATTTTGATAGGGTAAATTTGTCATAAGCATATCGGTTTGGGGTTTTTTGGTAATCAAAAAGTTAGTTCGGGATAAATTTATCGTAAATATACAAGTTTGAATTTTTCATGGTATTAATCCAAAAAAGGAACGGGAAAGAGGCAAAAAGAAAAAAAAAAGGAAACTGAGTGGACTCGGAAACGAGGAGCAAATGACTCGGTGAGCGAAGAACACACACTCCGCCATTCTCTCTCCGCACTGTATCTCTGTCTCTCTCTTCTTCTCTTTCACCTGCACGCACATCTTATACGTACATGCCTCCCTCGCCACCGTAACTGCATCAACCACCACCTATCCTTCGCCGGAAATGGACGGCAAGAGGACCGACAGCCCCCTCTACGGCCGCCAGTGGAGCAGCGAGTCCGCCGCCGCAGCCGGCGGAGGGGGCTCCTCCTCGCCGGCGCGCTACCACCACGCGCGCTCCTCCTCCGGGTCCGGGGCCGGCCTCTCGAGCGTCAAGAGGACCCAGAACTTCGCGGCCAAGGCCGCGGCCCAGCGGCTCGCCCAGGTCATGGCCTCCCAGACGGCCGACGACGACGACGACGAGGACGGCGACGATCTCGGCTTCCGGTACAGCGCGCCCCCGCCGCTGTCGCTCTCGAGGGCCAACGCGAGCGCCGGCGCCCGCGGCAGCGGCAGGCCCGGCGGTGCGGCTGCGAGGGTGGCTAGATCTCCTTCGCCCGCGGTGAGTCCCAATGTAGCTCGCGAATTTCATCTGGAGCTGATTACATTTCGAGCTCAATTAGCGCTTTCGATTTGGGTTTGGTGCTCACTGTTGGATACTCGCTACGCTCTGTTGGATTTGTGTTGTGACTGATCCTCCATGTTGATGAGATGGTCGGGCTCTCTTTTGCTTCCAAACACGATCTATATGATCCAGACGCGCGCGCATTTGTATAGATCTTTATGTGGTTGGGCGTGCACGCTTGATAGCAAGTTGAGAGGTTTGAAATGTGAAGACTGACTGAGTGAGTGAATCTTTTGTACTTTTGATTAGCTAGCGAGGAACTTTGTGGAGGAGATCCCGTCAGTGCGCTCAGCATCGACCGGAAGGCCTGCAATGTCTCCTCGGCCATCATCGTTAGTGCCGCCCGGCAAAGTACCGCCGCTTAGAACTGCCGTTTCTTTGCCACCAATTGAGCCTCCATCTGATCGTCCGAGAGAGAAAAGGTAAAAATATATGGTAAATTAATGTGGCGTTTTAATATACGACTCTTGCTATATGGTAAAGTCCCGCATTGCACGAGTTTTGCAGGTTGAGCAAGTCTTCCCTTTGATAGTCGGTCAAACAAATTATGCTCTATTTAGTTTGTCATACTAGTTCTTAGACACAAATAGCGGTAGAAAGTCTTATTCGACTAATCTCGTCTTTCATATACTCATTTCTAGTTAACAGTCAGACTTTTGAATTATTACTTTAGCTTGAAGTGGTGTGAATTCTTTTTAGCTATTCCCTCCCAGTTGATGAGACAAGTCTTCTCTCTTCTCATGTCAATGATTGGTTCCAGTGCTCCTACCCTCAGGAATTGGGAGACTTCAGACCTGCTGGAGGATTAGAGTGCCTGGGATACATTACGCATGCCTTTATACTGTGTTATTGATGCTTGTTTCCTATAAGTACTTTCTTAGTGTTTACTTTTGCCTTTAATGTTAGAAAATTGCCATATCCTTTTCTTTTCTTTCTCCTGTGTTATTTCAGTTCTGTTGGGATCCACTTGCAGATTTTCATCGGATATAAATCTAAACTCCAAATCTAAAGGAGACCAGCATGATGCTTCTGCACTTCAGGATGAAGTATGCAAAATATATTTTGTCTTCATGATTGATTTCCTGTTTTGATAATTTTGAATTACTGACAAGATTACATTGTGCAGCTTGATATGGTCCAAGAAGAAAATGAGAATATTCTGGACAAGGTGCATTTCCATAATCATAAATGAAATTGAAAAAGTTCATATTCTATCACGTTGGTTATGGATGTGACAGTTGTGTGCATTATTGAACAGCTCAGACTCGAGGAAGAGAGGTGCAAGGAAGCAGAGGCCAGAGTTAAGGAGCTAGAGAAGCAGGTACTTGCTTTTCCCTTTCTCTCTCAATATGTTTTTGCAATTTGTATAAAAATCCTCTATAGTGAACATAGTGGTGTACCTGAATGCACTTCATGCTCTCAGCTTTATGCTACATCATGGGACAATGACATCATTGGTACTTGAACGTTAATTTTGGTCATATTGGTCCTTTGTACTCTTTGATTTGAACTAATTCATCCTTTTAGTTGACATGGTCATCCAACTCATCTCGTGGAACCCACGTTTGTTGACATGGCTATACATGTATACAGTGACATTAGTAAATCAGCAAAAAAATAAATAAAGAAGAAAAACAACAGTAGCGCTGGGAAGGGGAGAAGAAGGAGATGGAGAGAGAGTGTCGGGGGCAGTGCCGCCGCCCCAAAAGCACCGGCGAGGTCAGCCAGCCCTCTAGTGGCCACCGACGAGGTTTACTGGCCCTCGATGGTGCAAGTGTTGTGGCGCCCCAGCTCTCTCTCTCTCTCTCTCTCTCTCTCTCTCTCTCTCCCTGTACTTCGACCGATGGTCTCCTTTCTTTATTATTTTTTTATCAATTTTGCTGAGGTAGTTGTACAGCCACATCAACAGATGTGGGTTTCATAAAGTGAGTTGGATTGCCATGTCAGCTAAAAGGACTAAAGTGGTTCTTCTCAAAGTACATGGGGATCAACTTGGTCAATATCAAAGTTTAAGGACCAAATTGAACATCAAGTAAGAGTTTGGGGACCAATTTTGGCCATGTCCCTGTGCGATTGATTGCTTTATCCACTACATTATTCTGACTACTTTGCCAAATCATTGCCTTTTCTCTTTTGACTAAAAGACTTCTTCCTTTAAGCTTCTTGGGGGCTTCGTTTGATGTGCAGCATTGACATGGTATTTAACTTACCAAATTGATAGTAAAGTTGTATAAGTGCAATCACGAAGTCCTTTGTCCTTTTTTCAACCCTACAATCCTTGATCATGCTATTTCTCCCTTTCGCTTCTAATTGCTGAGGATGAGCAAACAGCATAGGTAGTTTTTTGATAATATTATGCCATGGATTTCATTGTAAATGCAGCAAATGACACTCTCTGGTTGGCTGAGTTTTAGGTTGCTGCACTTGGAGAAGGCGTGTCCTTAGAAGCAAAACTATTGAGCAGGTACATGAAATCTGCTATCTATATGTGCTCCCACAATTTTTCATTTTGTTTTCTCTTGTCCTGCTTAATTTTGGGACGCATTTTGTGTTTTCCTCGCAGAAAGGAAGCTGCATTACGTCAACGAGAGGTAATTAAGGAAATTGGATATTTCTCCTCTAATGGATGCTATGCAGATGGATGATGGTCTATTTGTTTTAGTTGAGAGCGAAGCTCTTCTAATTGTATGCAGTTCATATTGTGCTGCTTCTATTGTTGTTGCTGGATAACTTCTTCTCGGTAGCATTCTGTCTCGGTAACTTAACTTCAACTCCTCAAATCATTAATTCATCAGCATGCAGAATGAGAACAGGAATTTTTAAGTTTGCATTATGTTATTTTCGACAAAATGCGAGATACCATCATATTGATCAAAACAAGCTTCTTTCATTCTGTATTTTTGTTCGACCTTTGACTACGTTTTTTGTTTTTCATCTTTCTGCAGGCTGCATTGAAAGATGCAAAGCAATCAAGTAATGGGGTAGACAAAGAAGCAGCGGCTCTTAGGTCTGAATTGGAGGTCAGCTCTTGCATGATGCCCTGTTAAACTGGCTAAAATTTGCTTGCATAAATGCTTGTGGCTTGCACATCTCTAATGTTTGGCTCTTACTATCCAATTTGTTGGCTTAAGTAGAATGCCAAGGATGAGGCTGCAGTTGCTGTCAAACAGCTTCATGGAGCTGAATCTGAAGTAAAAGCTCTTAAATCAATGACTCAGAGAATGATATTGACTCAGAAAGAGTTGGTAGGTATATATGTAGTTATAGTTACAGAATCTTATATTTAGCAGTTGTTATTTTTAATATACGAGACACATTTTCCAGGAAGAAGTCGTTCTTAAAAGATGTTGGCTTGCTCGCTATTGGGGTTTGGCTGCAAAATATGGTAATTTACTGAAGTTGCATCACTTTAGTTTCTTTCCATGCCATTGGTGACTAATGTGCCTGGAGAACGTTCCATAAACTTGGTGGTCTTTCAATGAAGTCGTGCAGAAATCTTTCTTTCTATTGTTTGAAGGTTGATGCTAATGTAGATTGTAAATAAGAGGAATTTATGCTCTATATTTGTCGTACGAGGCATGTACATTTCTTTGCTCACGACGTTGCCTTTCCTCTTGGTACTTAGGTATTTGTGCAGATGTAGCAGTGTCAAAGCATGAACACTGGTCATCCTTAGCACCTTTACCATTTGAGGTGGTCCTTTCTGCTGGACAGAAGGCTAAAGAGGAGTATTCAGAAAAAGGCTAGTAATATTCTTTCAGTCAAAAACATGCATTCAAATCAATTTTCCTTTGAGGAACTTGAAAAATATATGTGCTTGGAAGAAGGAATTACAGGTTGGCTACTAAAAATACACTAGTTTCCTAGCATTTGGCGATCTTGGACTTGCTTGCATGTTATGATACAGTTGCTATTGGGAATGCTATAATCAACAGTGCCCATGTTCCAGTATAGATACATAGTCGTACTTCTAATGATATCTAACTACATTAAAACTTTAGATCTGCTGCAAGTAACTTGGACATGCCACATCTCAGGTTGCACTTGGTCCACAAGCATTTCCCACAACGCACATTTTGAACAAATAACGAGTGGCCTAGCCACCCCTGTGCCATTTCTTTTTTCAAAGGTATTTTTTTTATGGTTTGAACGAACCTACTACCTGTTAGAATTTTTTTATTTTTTATTTTAAAACCTTTTTGTCTGATTCTATTTTAAAAGGGGAAAAGAAGGCCTCATTCTGGCTCCGTTCATTTCACGGAAAATGTTACGTTTCTGGAAAATGTTTTCCGAGAAGTTATTTTCCTGGAAAATGACACAATTTTTCGGTGCTCGGCTGAAATCTGAAAAATTTTCGGAAAATATTTTCCGTTGTTTGGTACGGAAAAGATTTTCTTCTTTGCACTACTTTTAATAATTTTTTATTTTTATTTTTTAAAAATATTTTTTATTTTATTTTATTTTTCTTTTTTTTTTTCTTATTCTTCTTCTTCCTTAGCCGGTCGCCAGCTGCCGCCAGGTCAAGCCTCGCCTGATCCGACGCGGCCGAGCTCGCCCAAGACCGGTTTAGCGAGCTCGGGCTTCGCCAGATTTGGCGAGTTGGGCAAGGCTTGAGCCTCGCCCGAGGTCGCCAGACGTTGGCGAGGCTCTGGTGACCTCGGGCGAGGCTTGAGCCTAGCCCCACTCGCCGGATCTGGCGAGGCTCGAGCTCGTCGGTCTCGGGTGAGCTCGGCCTCGCCGGAATCTGGCGAGCTTGGGCGAGGCTCGAGTTTAGCCCAGCTCGCCGGATCTGGCGAGGCTCGAGCTCGGCCTCACCACACGCCAGCAAGGCTCGACCTCGAAATCTGGCGAGCTCGAGCCTTGTTGGCCTGTGGCGAGGCTCGAGCTCTCCTATGGCTGATCACTGGGCGCTGCCGTGGCCGGCGACCGGCCGGAGAAGAAGATAGAAAAGAGAAGGAAAGAAAAAATAATAAAAAGAAAAATAAAAATGGATAACTAAAAATAATTAAAATTAGAATTTTTAAAAAAAGAAATTTAAAATAATTAAAATGAATGGTGAAAGAAGGAGGAGGGAAAATGTTTTCCTCTTTTCAAAAAGAGGAAAACATTTTCCGTGGTTAGTTTATTTTCCGTGAAACGAACACCGGAAAACGTTTTCCCGGAAGTTATTTTCCGTGAAACGAGCGGAGCTATGTAAAATTATTTTTATACATTCTATCCTTCTACCTTTGTTTATTTTGGTCCTTTTGGAAGACAAATTTTTCACTCTTTTTATGTATTTCTAACCTAAGTTCTATCTTTACTGGAGAACTGAAGGTTCTATTTCATTTTCTCTTTCTTTTTTTTTCTTGTGGAATTCATTATCTTTTCCTATCAATAACTTAATGTAATTTACTATGAGCTAATTAGTTTCCTCTTTTCTGAAATTATTTTTGTTGGTTAATCATTTTAACAAAATTTAATCAAATCTTAGGGTCCGTTTCTTTGAAGAAAACTGTTTTCTGACTTTCCGATGTTTGGATGACAGAAAACTAATCGATCTATGAAAAACGTTTTCCATGAGTTGAAAACAACAAGCTTAGGTTGGGGAAAAACGATTTCCTCTTCTAGCAAGAAGGAAATCATTTTCCCTAAACCACCAAACAAATGAAAACTAACTATTTTCCTTTCAAATGATTTTCATGGAAAGTATTTTCTTATATCATGAAGTTTTCAGTGAAACAAATGCACCCTTATTGTAAGAAAACCATGGAAATTTTCTCATGTCTAATTATTATCCTAAGTTAAAATTTGGCCAAAAGTTAGTTTGCTTTGGCTTTATTATCAACATTTATATCACAAATTGATGAGAACTCTTATTATAGGAGGATATATCATCATTCTAACTTTCAAATTGTGGTAAAACTCAATATAATTGTATCCTGAACATTTCTATCTCTTGTGAAAATCTTGATGAGATGGGGGTGGTGCCTTATGAACCTACCAATCACCTTAATCATAAGAATTAAATACTAAAGATATTTATGACAAACTCGTCATGATAATAATGTCAAGTCATTGTTGTGGAGTTACCTAATAATTGAATTATACAGAGAGTTCATATTTCCATGGAAACCTGTAACTAGATAATACCATTCTTCATACTATGATGTTACCTCTCTATATTTATCACCAGAAATATTTTTAATTTATTCATAGATGCTGACCTTTTTATCTGAGCATCTAGCACATGTTTGTCGTGGCAATCCTATTAAAAAATTATTCCAACTAGATAATGGATGAGCCTACCCCAAACATACAGAACTTTAGACTAGTAACTTTCCTCTTCTTTTTTCAGTTAATGTATTGCAGTGATCAACTCTCCATGTAACATTGGTTTGCGTTTAATTCATGCTCAAGCTGTTAATTGCAATGTTGAGCAGGTGATGACGATCCTGAGAGAAGCAATATTGTTCATGACTTGAGTGATCTAACGGGTGAGGGCAATATTGAAAGCATGCTCTCGGTTGAAATGGGATTGAAGGAGCTAGCATCCTTGAAGGTTTTCTTGTCTAACGCGCTAATATTTTCTTAATGCTCCTTTTCGTCAAGTTCTACTTGGCATCATTATCATTAATTGCTATATATTTTTTTCTTTTATGCTCTGTTAGTTGTTCTCTGTATTAGTTGCTAATATTTTGCTCTTAACTTTTGCTTGCTTCTTCAAGGTTGAGGGGGCTATTGTGCTTGCATTGGCGCAACAACGGCGGCCAAATTCTACACGATTATCAGCATCAGGTACTTTATGTACTAGAGATTATCTTGCATTTTTCTCCATTATTTGGCTTTATACTAGGATTCTTCTTCTGGGCATATTCTATTTTACTTTCACTTTTCTGTAAGATAAAGTTAATCTTTGGACAGATGTAGTTTTAATGAATTACAAAGGAGCCTGTTTTCACTTGATGGTTAAAAATTTCTCCATCTTTGAATTGTTGATTCAGTTGCTCAAAGCTTGTAGAAATGTCAAAAAAATTTCTAATAATGAGTTAAGAAAGAAAACTCAGACAATTAAGAATGATTCGCTTTTTCTTGGGGATATATTTCTGGCAAATTATAGGCCAATGACCGTCCCTCCGCAATCTAACTGAATGATTCAAAGCTCGCTACGGTCGTGTGAACTACGTACTCTTTTGAGTGACACCTGCTGATTGCTTGCCATTGGCTTATTCCTTTTTCTCTCAGATCTCAAATCTCCTGGTGATCCGAAATTCATGGAGGCATTTGGTAAGGGAATTTTCTTATTGGCAGCGTTTGAAGGTGCTCATGTGTTTAGGAAAACTATCACCACCATCATCTCATGATTCTCATTCTAGATGGCATTACTGTTATACAAACTTGTACCTTTTCCTATTCATGTGGTACAAATTCTATCTGTGGAGGACATTGCCACGGGTTGTTATATTGTGATTGTTTCAGTATGGCTGAGACCAGTCCTTCTAGCCACAAGCTTTCCAGTGAATTGCCATCACCTGTAATCCTGATGGGCAAAATTTGCAAGTTTCCCCTGTTAGTTTGGCAAAGTTTGGCCTGATCCTAGAAGACTCGAGATAGAGTCATGTTTCAATTTTAGTGGTGTCCAAAATGCTTGTAGTCGGCGAATCGGTGGACTTCTGTATTATGAACATTTGATTGGACCGTTTACCAGTGGGAAGCATATGTTGATATTACCAGCTAAAAGGAACTAACGTCCGTATGTGGTTTAGGCGCACTATACCGGTTCAATCTCAGGTATCAACCAGTGTGAACAAATCTCATATTGGACCTCCGCCGGGTCTTTCATCACCTCGAGGTCTGTTCATCTAAAGTAGAGTTCCTCGTCGTCAAAGATAACAAAGGAACATTATTTCTCTCTCCAGCAACATGATTTTGGACTTAAACTTTTAGCTGCTGATAATTTATAAGAGTCTGTATACCATACCTGCATTTTTTATTTTTCTGAAAAAAGTAGTGTTACCTCACTATGTATTAGCATTTCATCATTGGACAAGCCTAACGTTGCTGATCCAGCGAGCTTCTGATTGATTACATATCATTGATGGTGTATCCGTTGCCCATAACCTTCGTTTCTGAGATCGATATAGACTTCGGACTTCGTCGTGTCTTCACACTTCTGTGCTACAATGGGTGCTCTTTGGATGATGATTATGTCATTAAAATAGCTGGTCACACTTGCACGAGTGAATCATATTTTCTAATAATCTTATCGATGATTACAATGCGACTGTGGTCCTCTCTATGGCAGAATTGAGTCCAGAGGAATCCGAGGACGTACTCTTTAAGGAGGTATCACGCTTACTTTAAGATATTGTACTTTTGAGTCGCGTTCTCTTTTCACTCGAGCTTTTTGTCTTGACACAGGCATGGCTTACATATTTCTGGCGAAGAGCCAAAGCTCACGGTATAGATGTGGAAACTGCAAAAGAGCGACTGCAGTTCTGGATAAACCGGAGTGGTCATTCCCCTACATCACACGACGCTGTCGATGGTAATATTTCTATGCTATTTTGTGCAAACACTTAGGGCCAAATTCCAGTTTAAATTCTAGATTTGTCGTCATATATTTCCAAACCTTGCCTGTTTAACGGTATTTATTTGGGTTGTCTTCGTTTCAGTCGAGCAAGGTCTGATGGAGCTAAGAAAGCTTGGAATTGAGCATCGACTCTGGGAAGCATCGCGCAAAGAAACCGGCCCCTAACTTTGTTCATTCATTTCTCAGAATTAAACCACGCCGTTTCAGACAGCAGCAGTGGCCGAGACATCTATACTATCCAAGTTTCTCCCGTCATAGTTCGACGTAATTTTATCTTCATTTGTTGCAGCATCACGTTGTTATTCTCCTTCAAATGTACAAGTGGAAATGTCTGCTTACTCCTTCACGAACAATCACTTTGTATAAAATGCAGGCTCCCTGCTTATAGAATGCAAGTTGAAAGGTGCCGACATTTACCAATTGTCTCGAGGTTTCAAAAAGCTAGAAAGCAGGAATAATGAGCTGATCCTGAGTCTAAAACAAATAACTGAGTAACATTTTTGCTTTCCAAGGAGATGAAAATGCATGTCGCAGGGTTAGTAACTTCGCCGTGCCACTAATTATTGTGCAGCCCTGACCCTTGTTCGCATGTTCTCAACTACCGCCTGATTTTGCAAGTTAAATCGCAGTTAATTATGCTTCTGTTGTCATAGATGAGATATTTCATCATCTGGTTCCCCCAGATGGCTTCGCCCTGGTGAAATGATCATCTGTCTCTGCCGAGAACGTACATAGTTTTTCTTGCAATATATGGTGATTTTGCATCTTCATACTGCAAAAATTATCATAATTCAAGGGATGAGGAATATGATTCAGGATGATGCAGAAAGTACAGATGAACTAGTTATTGCCCATACAATCTACATGGGCATAACATTATCAATGAGGTATGTGTGGACGGCAAAAACAGTCATCCTGTAACCTACCAATCACGCAGCTTGGGCCATCCAGGTAAGTAGAGAGGACAGTACGTGCGACATTTACCAATAATCACCGCAAGAGCACTGACCAAGCTTAAAATGATGGAACCTACTCGAGTCTCTAATTACGATCTCGCGTTCGGCCACCCTAGACACGTGCTTGGCAAAATCATGGCAGTCTCTGCAAGCTCGAAGATTCTTGAAAATGAGAACGGGCAAATTCCTCGGCGTGGAGAGCAGCCCGAATGCTATTGCCAGCCTCTCACTGTGTTCAAGAAGCTGTTGTCTTCGCTCCGGAAAAACAGAAGATGCATCCTCCTCAGTTAATAGTGACCGATCTTCACTGTTACTATCCGGAGAGTCAATTTCCTTCAGCTTTTCATAGATCTCCTTTGTTTGAGGATGGTGTCTGTCACCAACTATAAACCTGTGCCATTTACCCTTCGCTGTAGTCCAGCTGCAACTGACCTCCTTCCTCAAGTTCTTTTCCATCATTTTCTTCCTAATTCTCGCTGCTTCTTCCCATTTCTCATGCGAAACGCACAAGTTAAAGAGGAGAATGTAACCTGCAGTATCATCTGGGTTCAGCCGAAGAAGATTCTCTGATGCTATCCTTCCAAGCTTGAGATTTCTATGGTTCCAACACCCAGCCAGTAAACATTTCCAGCTCATTGCATCAGGATCAAAGTTCATATTATTAATCAGTTCAAACGCCTCTTGAAGTAGACCGGCACGAGAGTATACATTGATCATACAATTAAAATGATCAATTGTAGGAGTGACACCATACTCACTGTTCAGTGATTTCAAGTAACACTCTGCCTCTGTTATCAAACTCGAATGGCTACAAGCAGTCAGGACCGCAACAAAAGTGACTCCATTTGGCCTGGAACCAGAATCCTGCATCTTCCTAAAGTACCGGAGCGCTTCTGAAGCAATGCCATGATATGCATACCCAGCTATTATAGCAGTCCAGGCTACAGTGTCCGGTTCACTAATTGACCTGAAAACTCGACTGGCATAATCCATATCGCCACATTTAGAGTACATGGTGATCAGTGCACTCTCTCCATATAGAGGTGAGATCAGACCTCTTTTTATTGCATCGGCATGAGCTTGTGCACCCGAATTAATATCTGCAAGCATGGAGCATGCTTGGAAAATGCTAGTGTAGATGAATGGATTAAGTGACCCATCTTTAACTCTCAAAGATTTGTAAGTTTTAAGGCACTCCTCTACTCTACCAGATTGAGAATAACCAGATATCAATGCGCTCCAGGAAACATCATTTGGGTTGTTTATCTTCTGAAATGCCATGAGAGCAGACTCGAAACATGTACATTTCACATAAAGGTCCACGAGAGGAGTTCCCACAGAAACTTCAGATTCCAACCCCAGCTTAACAATGTAGCCATGAATTTGCCTTCCTACTCTCAAGTCCTCCAACAAAGCGCAGGCTTTGAGAACAATGGAGAATACAAAGTCATCCAATTCGACACCTTCCTCGACCATTTTCACAAACAAATGAAGAACATCATTCTGCTTGTCAGCCTCAGTGTACCCCACCATCAATGCAGTCCAAGCGACTGCTTTCTTTTCAGCCATCTGATCAACAACGAACCTGGCACCCTCTAACCACCCACATTTAACGTACATATTGCAAATTGCTGCGCCGACGGAAGCGTTTGAAACTGACCCAGTTTTTATCAAATGAGAATGCATCTGCTTGCCAATCTTCAAACAAGAAGAGTCCATCAATGACCTCAATAAACTTTTGTAGACGGAAAAATTCGGTCCAACTCCATAATCTTGCATAAGCGAAAACAACTGAAAAGCTTTGTCCAATACACCCCTTTGCGCGTAAGCTGATATCATCGCACCCCACGTGTACGAACTTCTCTCCTCCATTTTATCAAACAGTCTCCGCGCGTCCCATAAGCTCCCACAGTCGCAATACATTTGGAGAGCGCAATCTTCAAGAAACCCAGGTGGGTTCTTCAACCGATCGCGAATCAATCGCCCGTCCGACAAAAGTCCCATCTCCCCACACGTTTCGAAGAGGGATTTGTACGTGGAGGGACTGACGGCAATGCCGGCTTCGTCCATGCTCTTGATGAACTCATGAACTTGCTCGAATTTCCCCCGTCTGGACAGAAACACCAGGTGCAAGTTCTCCACTTGACCCTGCTGGGTGTGAGGAGGCTTCACCGGAGAAGCGCGGTTGAGGGAGACCCACGAAGGGATTCGAGCGAAACTCGCAGGTCTCGCCGGCAAAATCTTGTCTTGAGCGGCTATGATGTGCGCAGAACTGGAAGGAGAGAAGGGCGTGGAAGCCATTGATGGAAGGCATCCAACCCGCCCGAGTTAGTCTTTAGTTACAGTAACGCGATGATATTCCGGCAAATTGCACCGATGTCTGAACAGGAACGAGTGACAATGAAGCGAACGAGGAAGACGATGAAAACGATGCTTCCGAAGACAAAAATACTCTTCGCTCCTCGTTCGCAGATGAGACTTCCACCCCACTGATTAGACTTAACGATTATTGGCTATAATAATCCTCTTTTTCTTTAAAAAATCGCTCAAAATAATAAAATAATAAATAATAATTTATATTTAAATATTTTTTGAGTTCATTCATTTTTATAGTAAAATAAGAATTATTTTTAAAAATTTATTTTGCTAATCATTTATTTTTCGCAAAATAAACACATAATATATTTGCCTGAAATAGTAGTATTCACTGTTGTAATTATGAGTTAACAGCTTGTCATATAGGGTCATACAGGGTTGCGATGTTCTTATGATTGTGAGGTGAGGAACGCACTTGGAGAATATAACTTACCCTATTATCTTCATTTCTTTTATTTATTTGGATGCACATGATAATTATGTTATTTTATTTTATTTTTTCTATTTTGGAAATAGGTTTGGAACAAAAAATTATTTGGTGACGTAATTTCATTTCTTTTTATTTTGGAATAAATTTTTAGTTCAGAAATGGATTTGAAATAAAAATGAAAAGCAGAAAATTTCTCTATTTCTAGTAGAAACGGAAATAAAAACTCTTTTTTCCCACTCACTTTCCACCACCACCACCACCACCTTTTCTCTCTCCCCACCACCTCCTACTCCTCCACTGACGTCGCCACCTTCACCACCCCCTCCCCCCTCTTCACCCTCCCATCGATCCTCCTGTGGCTCTCCATCGTCAGTATCAAATAAATATATCTACCAAATATAGGGCTATCAGTTTTTGGAAGATTTGAAATCTTATCTTTAAAAGTTAGAAAGTTTTCTATTTTATAAACCTTACGAAAAAAAAAAGTTTTCTATTTTATTTATTTCTTTTCTTGCTAGTAAATATTCTAAAATGTACTCTTGAGTATTTATATACCTCAACTAAGCTTAATGGAAATACACAACGACTCCTGTCTCATCATGGTATCAAGAGCCATCTAGGGCTAACGCCCCTTTCAACCCTAGCTTTCTTCTTCTTCTTTTTTCGGGTGGTCAATATGGTCCTGGAGAATCCCCCCACCACCACCACCATAACCGCTATTACAAACCCATCTTCTACACTTCCTCCATTCGGATATGCTCATCACTTTCTTTCTTTACATTTCATGGCATCCAATTATTTGCTATGGAAAGCACATGTTATCCCATTTCTTAACGTACAAAACCTCTGGTCATGTCGATGGAACCAAACTGTGTCCCTCTAATGCGACCGAAGCAGCTCTCTAGTAACAACAGGACGCTTCTATCATG